ACTAATATATATATATATATAATATTTAATCCATCCTTTTTTATAATTGGACAAATGAGGAATATATTATTATTTATAAATATGATGCATAACATAATATTGTTATATTAATATAAATATAATTGTATAATTATATTTATAAACTGTTTTTATATAGTATATATTTATAACTTATAATAGTGATAAAGTAATTATAAAAATAACTTTAATGAAGACTATAACAAATGAATACTGAATATAAAAAATATACACATTTATGAAAAAAGTATCTCGCATTATTACTGATGAATCAAAAATCATATATGTGTACATTTATATACAATATCAACAACAATTTATGAATATTATGCATTATATATAATATTTGTATATTAATATAATAAAATACAATCAATCCATACTTTTTTATAATGTACTGCAAGTGATAAAAATTATGAAACGTAATAATTTAATATAGTGTTACCTCCTGAGTGTTTGAATCTCTTGATTAAACTGAGTCTTGAGATCTTCAAGTGAGCTGTCGTCCAACTACAACATATCAGAAATTAAATCTGACTATTATGTGCTGAAAGACACTTTAGAAGTTAATTCACATCGTGTTTACTGTCTGCATTCATTCAACTGCAGAATATAGGTGGCAGACACATGAAACCTGTCGACTTTCTCAGTTACTTAGAGTGAGTTAAACATGATTTCCGAGCGCTGCTGACTCACAGGGTTGAGTTTTTTCACAGCTACGTCTGTGCTGCCGCACATAGAGCCTCTGAACACGACGCCAAAGCCGCCGGCGCCCAGCAAACACCCGCCGTGCTTCACGGGCCGCTCGTCCCAGCCGCTCGTCATGACCGTCAGCTCGCGGTGCGTGAACGTGTAGAAACCTGCTGGAGAGAGGTGGCTGATGGGTAACCGCTGTCTGAACTCATGGTACACTGCCACTGAAAAACTGATCTGTTTGTTTGGTCCGAGGGATTCTGTATTTGGCACATGTAAACATTGGCACATTCTTTACTTGCATTAAAAACAAAGTTTGGGATCAAGGCTGCGTTTAGTCAGAAAGTCAGAAAGAGTTTGCACATACAAGGAATCTGTTTTAGTGTCACAAGCTTCCAGTACACG